CTCTGTATTCTCTCTTCTTTTTGTAATTACGCCACTCGTTAGATCCACGGCCCACCTGATCTAGCATAAGCGCGTCTTTAGTTAACTAATTACACCTGCAAAGAATCAATTTCCAAATAAGGTTACCTACTGAGGTTCTGAATAGACATGAATGCTAGGGAGCAATTAACTCAGTTCAGATATCTGTCATTTTATTCCAGGTAACATCCTGGCAGATGATAGCATCTTGTATTTGTGAGGTATGGATAGAAATTTCTCAAAGAAGACAGGAGCAAGCCTGGCTGTTTGAGGAACAGGAGGGCCAGATAGCAGAAGTGGAGAGAGAGGTGTGGTTGGCTTGGTAGGTGCAGAGGGGGCAGAGATGCGAGCAACCCGCTTGCTATGTGGAGGCATGGGAGTGGGGTTGGGGAAGCCGGATTGCTTTATTATAGGGGAGAGTGGTGTGGCCTGTGTCTTGGTGGTAACAAAGAAAGTGAAGAAAGTCGATTTTACTCGGTCTCAAAAAAAAAAAAAAAGAATGACTCCTAGATCTTTGGCTTCAATAATGTAGCAGATGCTGGTATTTTCAATGGAGACAGGGAAGATGGGCAGTAGATTGTGGGAGCAGGGGGTCCGGTGCAGACGGAGATGCCACCTAGGTAGTTGACAAAGTGAGCCTGGGACCTGAGGCTGTCATAGTGGGAGAGAGCATTTGGAAGACGTCAGCCGAGATGGGATATAAATCCATGGGACTGGAGTAGAGACAGGAAAGTGGACACAGGACTAGGCATGGCCGCTAGTGGTAGGGATAGAAGTTGGGGAGCTGGAAAAGGTGATGGCAAGGAGCCACCAGAGAGGCAGGAAAACGTGCCAGGAGCCTAGAGAAGGAAGTCCTTCTTAAGGAAGGAGGAGGGTCATCACTTGCGGTGCTGCTAAGAGGTCAGGTAGAATGAGTCACACAGAAGTGACTGTTAGATTTGGCAACGAGGAGGCTGTTGACCAACTTGGCAAGAGCACCTCATGGGAGCAATCAGGAGGAAGCCAGTGACCAGGGGGGTTGACTGCTCTTGAGTTCTGCTCTCTCTTCATTGCCTGTTGTTCTTTGCTTAGGCAAATCAGTGTCCTCAGTAGGTTCCCTGAAGGCTAATGTCAGCATTAATATTGACTTACCCATTAGCTCATATGAGTCTCAAAACAACATCTTTGCAGGAAAGGCTGGGCAGGGCAGGCAGGTATTACTCCCATTTTACAGATGAGAAAGCCACCGCTTAAAAAGGTCAAGTGTTTTTTTTTCAGGCTGTTTCTTAAGACTTATGTGTCAGGCACCCCTCCTCCACCCCCATCTTGGTATATATCCCCACATTTTTTGGTTTGTCACATTTTTTGCCTTGCCTGACTAGATGACCAGCCCAGGGAAGATAGGACCCGAATGACGTCTCTATATTCCCTTAGTGGAGATTGCAAATGTGTGCCGTACCTGTTACTTTCTCTCCAGTACCCACGACAGGCATCACTAGCTGATCCTTTGAACCCGGACTCAGCGTAGAATTCTCTGTGCAGCATCCAAATAGCCTGTCAACCTGCTGACAGATGCGGTATCATTAATAGGCGTTCTTACTGTAGTGCTTAATGGCATGCCTGGCACATAGCAGGTGTGCAGTAAGTGGTTTTGTGAATGATTTAGTGAATGAGCATTCTCTGAAAATACGAGTGAATTCTTTGTCACCAGAGGTGATCAAGAAGAGATCACATTCATGCACAATTGGATAAGGTAAATAGAATTCAGATATTGGATACAAGGCTACAAGTCTGAGATTATTTGATATTATTGGAGTTATTTAATGAACAGTAGTGTCTGTTACCATTCTGGAACAAAACAAGCAGCCTGTTGAGAGGACTCTTTCGCTATCTCCTCAAATATATAGGAGGGGATGATGGGAAACACTACTATGGCTCCTTTCTTCTTTTTTTCTTTTTTTGAGATGGAGTTTTGCTGTTTTGCCCAGGCTGGAGTGCAATGACGCCATCTTGGGTCACTGCAACCCCCGCCTCTCAGGTTCAAGAGATTCTCCTGCCTCAGCCTCCTGAGTAGTTGGGACTACAGGCGTGCACCACCACGCCCGGCTTATTTTTGTATTTTTAGTAAAGATGGGGTTTCACCATACTGGCCAGGCTGGTCTTGAACTCCTGACCTCGTGATCTGTCCACCTCGACTTCCTGAAGTGCTGGGATTATAGGTGTGAGCTACTGGGCCCAGCCGTTTGGCTCCTTTTTTGTTTTCTTGGCCACTTGGGGCTCTGGTCTCAGCCTTTCTGGATTGCCTTAGATGATGGGTGTCACCTAGGTTTAGAGGAATGAGGAGAAAGTGGAACGTTTTAGGGTCTGTAAGGACAGGTCTGATCCCAAAGGCCTGTGAAGTGATGTGTTTTTTTTTTTTTTTTCCTTAAATGGTCTCTGCACATCAAATCCTGGCTCTGTTACCTGTTGGTCACATAATCTTTTGGGCCCTATTGAGCCCAAGGGAGTAAACAGAACAGTACTTTTCCGGGTTGTTGAGGGATTCAGTGAGATTCCCTAAGTAGGTTTTGGTCAACAAGCAGGCATTTCATAATCCTCTCTTCCTCCTGACAGTCCTGCCCCAAGGACTGGGGGGATTGTCTGCATTCCTCTGTGGAACTGGAATGTGGCTCCAGCGATGGTGTCTGCAGGGTTGAAGCTGCTTCTCTCTCCTGCCCTCTAGCCTGGCCTCACCCAGTCCTAGCCAGGGTAAGTGAACATCAATCCCACGAAAAGAGCCTTCTCTGAAAACCACTTTATATATATATATATAAACTTTTTTTTTTTTTTTCCCCAGACAGGATCTTGCTCTGTCGCCCAGGCTGGAGTGCAGTGGCACAATCTTGTATCACTGCAACCTCAGCTTCCTGGGCTCAAGCCACTTCCCACCTCAGCCTCCTGAGTGGCTGGGACTACAGGTGCATGCTGCAATGCCCAGCTAATTTTTGTATCTTTAGTAGAAACAGGGTTTTGCCATGTTGCCCAGGCTGGGCTTGAACTCCTGGACTCAAGCGATCCACCCACCTCAGCCTCCCAAAATGCTGGGATTGCAAGGCTGCCTTATGGCTCTTAATGTCTTGGCCCCAGTGCATTGGCTCTGCCTGGCTCCAGAGGGACATGAAGTCATCCCTGGGGACACAGTTGTTTGCTAGTTAATATTATCGGTCCTCTAGTCTGGTGATTTTCAAATTTTAGTGTAGTCAGAATCGCCAGCAGGGCTTGTTGAAACTCAAGACACCTGGGTCCCTTCTTGGAGACTTAGGATGAGGTCTGAGAACTGGATCTGACAAGCTCACAGGTGACACTGAAGTTGAGGACCTTGTATCATACTTTAAGCATAGTCTTCCCACAGCAACCAGAGTTCCTCCCTGCCCATAGGTAGTATCTTCTACTTGGGCCCTCTGCTTCCGCTGTGGCCTGCTTCCAACCTCAGCTATGCTTATTAACCAGCAGAATTCATCGAGCCTCCTTAAACAGCATGGTACTGGTACCAAAACAGATATATAGACCAATGGAACAGAATAGAAGTCTCAGAAATAACACCATACATTTACAAACATCTGATCTTTGACAAACCTGACAAAAGCAAGCAATGGGGAAAGAATTCCCTATTTAATAAATAGTGCTGGGAAAAATGGCTAACCATATGCAGAAAACTGAACACTAGTGTCTTCTAGCCTCATTGAGTGGTGCCTCCCTCTGTAGCCCGACATCCTGGTCTTTGATCAGTTCCCTGACAACCTTCCCTGAGCACCACAGGACCTTTGCACTTGCTGGTCCCAGTTGCTATAATGCTCTTTCCCCAGCTTTTTGAAAAGCTGATTCTCTTCCTAACTTCAGTATCACCTCTTCAGACCACCCCCCACCTTTTTGTTTTGAGACAGAGTCCTGCTCTGTTGCTCAGGCTGGAGTACAGTGGTGTGATCTCAGCTCACTGCAACCTCCACCTCCTGGGTTCAAGCAATTCTCCTGCCTCAGCCTCCTGAGTAGCTGGAATTACAGGTGCATGCCACCATGCCTGGCTAATATTTGTATTTTTAGTAGAGACAGGGTTTTATTATGTTGGTCAGGTTGGTCTTGAACCCCTGACCTTGTGATCTCCCTGCCTGGGCCTCCCAAAGTGCTGGGATTACATAATTATAGATGTAAACCACCGCGCCCTGTTAGACCACCCCTTCTTCTTCTTCTTCTTCTTTTTTTTTTTAGTAGAGATGGGTTTCACCGTGTTAGCCAGGATGGTCTTGATCTCCTGACCTCGTGAGCTGCCTGCCTCGGCCTCCCAAAGTGCTGTGATTACAGATGTGAGCCACCGCGTCCAGCCAGACCGCCCCTTCTGATAGACTCATTTCCCAACCTCCATTATTTCTCATCACTGGATGCTACTGAATTTCCCTGTGGCACCAGTCATAGCCTGTAAAACAATTTTATTGAATTATTTGGCTCTTTGTTTTGGCGTGATTCCTCCACTAGAGAGTAGAAACCGTGACTGTGTCCTCGAACTCTGCATTATCTGGTACTCAGTGAGTGGTTCATACATAGTCTTTTTTTAAAATTAATTTTTATTTTTATGTTCCGAAGTACATGTATAGGATGTGCAGGTTTGTTATATAGGTAAATGTGTGCCATGGTGGTTTGCTGCACCTATCAACCCATCACTTAGTTATTAAGCCCAGCATACATTAGCTATTTTTCTATGAAAGATAAACAAATTGCTAATAGTAAAATAAGAATGTAAAAGAGTGCTTCTAGTGTGTTATAGACGCTGCTTTATGTGCATTACAACATTTACTTTCCATAATTGTCTCCATGTTACAGAGGGGAAGACTGAGGCACAGAGACAATAAGAAACTTGGCCCACAGTCAGCGAGCAAGAAAGCCTCGATTCAGACCTGGGCACGTGGCTTCAGAGTCCACACGCTTGGCTTCTGCACTGCACTGCACTGAGAGGGGCTGCCGGGTAGGGAGTCCCCCACCTGCTCCCCATTTTCAAATCTCCCATGCCAGACGTGATGACATCCTCTAGGTGATGGGCAGTGGACACGAGTGGTCCTGGTTACAGCTGGCCTTCGCTGGCCTGTCCCACACCTAAGGATATGGATTCTAGCCCACTGGACCATAAGCCAGACCCCCTGAGGGTCAGTTATTTGGCAAATGCCAGTGCTCTTTGGAATCTTGCTCATGACTGACAAACACACCCCACGCCCCTTCAGCCATAATTTTCACCTCGTACCCAGAGAGAGAAGGGCCATGGGCTCACCTTCCATCCAACCCAAGTCTTTCTGGCCAAGGACTGCAGGCTTCAAGCAACACCTTTCAACCTCTGAAAGGAAAAAAGAAGGCTGGGGGTGGGTCTTAGCTGCTGCCACTGACATTTTATTGTTTAGGGTTTTTTTTTTTTTTTTTTGAATACCGGAAATTAAGGGGAAGTTTAGAAACTTCATAATGGCGTCATGAACCATTGCACTTGGAAAATGTACTTTTGAACAATTCCCTTGATTTATTGTTTTTCGGAGGCCATGGACAACATGAGAGTATATTATTCCCATATAATTTCCTGAGTTTTCTATGTCAATTACTTTGTTTTATTAATGAGAGAAAGGAACTAATATTGATTGAGGTCCTTCTGTGTGCCAGGCGGAGTGGTCATCTTTTCACTGTTAGTTACAAAGTGAGCCTGATAAGCAGAGAAGATGAATATTGTTTAGAGATGAGGAAATGGGGCCCAGGGAGGAACTTGCCCCACCTCATCTCCAGGACTGGAATTCTGTCCAGTCTTCACGTCCTTTTGTATTGACGGATGGGATCAGCCCATGTACTGCTTACATGACTTAGGTTTTTGTGGGGTTGAGAATATCAGTTGTAGCTCTAATGGGGTGTGATTATTTATGATTTTTAAAAACATATGTATATATATATATTTATACACACACACACACACACACACACACACACACATAATATCCGATTACATATCATGTCACAGTTTGCTGTAGAGTGAGGCGGTCCTTCCTGTAACACTTGTCTTGCAAGGCTATGGACAGATACTGGTAATGGGACCTGTGGTTTAAATGTTTGTCGTTTAGAGGAATAGCATATGTCGTTTAGCTCAAACCATATGGGGTCAAAAACAAGGTCGGGCATGGTGGTTTGTGCCTGTAATTCCAACACTTTAGGAGGCTGATGTGGGTGGATCACCTGAAGTCAGGAGTTCGAGACCAGCTTGGGCAACATGGTGAAACCCCTCTCTACTAAAAATACAAAAATCAGCTGGGTATGGTGGGGGGCGCCTGTAATCCCAGCTGTTTGGGAGGCTGAGGCAGGAGCATCACTTGAACTCGGGAGGTGGAGGTTGCATTGTGTCAAGATGGCACCACTGGACTCCAACCTGGGCGACAGAATGAGCCTGACTCTGATGAGAGTTATCAATAATAATGGTAGTTTCTGTTTATCGTTTGCTATGTACCAGGCACTATTCTAAGTGCTTTTCATAAATTAGCTCACTTCATCTTTGTTATAACCCTGTGTTCTAAGTACAGTCATGCCACCACATCACGATGTGTGGATCAGCAATGGACTGTATATGCGACGGTGGTCCCATGAGATTATAATACAGTACCTTTGCTGTACTTTTTCTATGTTTAGGTATGATTAGATACACAAGTGCTCACCATTGTTGTATAGTTGGCTATGATCTTCAGTACAGTAACGTGTCGTTCAGGATTGCAGTGCAGGAGCGATGGGCTATGCCATGTAGCCCAGAGGGGTAGTAAGGAGTTTTGTGTAATTTCACTCTGTAATGTTCACACAACGAAATTGCCTAATGACGCATTTCCCAGAATGTGTCCCTGTCCTTAAGCAACGTGTGCCTGTTCTATTATCGTCACCCCATTTTACAGGTGAAGGACCTGTGGCACAGAAATGGACTAACTTCACCCAGGGTCACTCATATAATAAAAGGCAGGCTGGGTGCATCCACTCACGCCTGTAATTCCAGCACTTTGGGAGGCCCAGGCGAGAGGGGCTAGGAGTTTGAGACCAGCCTGGGTAACATAGAGAGACTCCATCTCTACCGAAAATACAAAAAATTAGCCAGGCATGGTGGGATAGACCTGTGGTTCCAACTCCCCAGAAGGCTGAGGTGGAAGGATGGGTTGAGCCCAGGAGATCAAGGCTGCAGTGAGCTGTGATCATGCCACTGCACGCCAGCCTGGGTAACAGAGTGAGACCCTGTCTCAAAAAAAAAAAAAAAAAAAGGCCAGGCACGGTGGCTCACACCTGTAATCCTAGCACTTTGGGAGGCCGAGGTGGGTGGATCACCTGAGGTCAGGAGTTCAAGACCAGCCCTGCCATCAGGGCGACACCCCATCTTAAAAAAAAAAAAAAAGTCAGAGCTGAAACTTGAAGCCAGATAATAAGGCAGGCAGAGGGCACAGGAAACACCCCCAGATGGGCCATGAGCCAGTGCCTCAGTCAGGGTCTGATAGTTTAGCTGAAGAAGGGAGGTTTAGGGAAGAGACTGTGGGGGGAGGAGTTAGGGAAGGTGTCAGAGAAGGTTAGGGAACCGCAGGGATCATGGGCATGCTACAGTGTTGCCAGGGCAAGGGAGGACTGGCTGCAGTATGGGGCTCCCAGCCAGTGCCATGTGGAGAGGGACCTGTGACTCCTATTGTGAACTCTCCCTTCTTCTGTCCTCTGACCTCCTGCTAGTACCTCCCACTGGCTGAACACAATGGATGGCCAGTGTACTGGGGAGCTGTTGATGGCACCCATGGGCATCTGCTTCTTGGCACAGAGGAGACAGAGGATTGAGTTGAGAGGGAGAGGAACTGGAGAATAGCCCAGGGAATGAGGGGTCCCAATGGTTGAAGAGGAGTGAGCAGGTAAAGCGGGTAGATGGTGAAGTCAGAGAGGCCAGGGGTCCACACTACATGGGGCCTTTGGCTTTCTTTGGAAGGGGTGGGAAGCCAATGGAGGGTTTGAGCAGATGTGTGTATCACAGCCACTGCCATCAGGAGAATGTCTCTCTGGTAGGGGTGAACAGATGCCCCTTCCTCTCCCTTTCTGAGGATGAGTGCTAAGGAGGAAAACGCCCTTTCCTCCAACGTCTTCAGAGGAGACGTCTGCCCAGTCTGGTCTACGTGCCTCATGCCAGCCAGCCTGTAAACGACAGGAAAGAGAAAGAAGCAGTGTGTCTCAAAAGAGGATATTCTGGAACCTTTGATAATCAGAGCCCATTGTAAAGTCATGTTTTGAGTTACAGCATTTAAATCTTTGTTCCAGTGGAAAACTTTTACAGGCTGTCCTGGGCAAGCCTTGAATCCTGTTTGGATCTCCAGAGGTCTTAAAATAGTGTGGGATGCCGGGAGACTGGTTCCAAAAGGGAGGAGACCTGCTGGCTGCCCTGGCCACACCTTGGTGGGACTGGCCCCTGGCCTTGGGGACCCTACCACTCTGCTAGCTGTGTTTCTGCAGAGCTGGGCACACAAAAGCTTTCTTGTCTGGATTTGTTCCCCTAAGAGTGTGGCACCAAACTGGCCTTGCCCATGCAGGAAGCTGGTCCTGTCCAGCTGGGGAATGAAAAGTTGGCCAGTATCTTCTCAGGCCGCACTTCAGCTGAGTTTCTTTCACTGAGCTGGTTCTCTTAGGATGCCCAGGGGAAGGAGAACACACTAGAGTGAGATGGTGAGTGAAGAAGGAGGTGGCTACTCAGACAGCTTCCACTTCTGTCACGCTCTGTTGCTGTGACCAAGGCATCTGGTCATCTGGAACCCATGGCAGGCAGGAAGCTCTATTCTACCCTTGTGTGCCCCAAAGCTTGTTCTGGGAATGGGTGGTTTGGGGAACAGTGCTTGCTGTCTTTGAGTCTCCAGTCCTGTAAAACGGGGAAGGTATACATCAGAGGGCCTTGGAGGATAAGGTGAGCAGTGCTTGGCATGTACCTGGCACATAGTATCTGTTCAGCAGATTCCCTTTCAGCTCAAGCTTAGCTCTTCATCCACCTCTTGTTGGCCTGAAGGAGGGGAGGTAGGTACTATTAGCCCCATGTTTTTTTTCTTGAGACAGAGTCTCGCTCTGTCACCCAGGCTGGAGTATAATAGTGCAATTGTGGCTCAATGCAACCTCCACCTCCCAGGTTCAAGTGATCTTTCCGCCTCAGCCTTCCAAGTAGCTGGGATTACAGGTGTGCACCACCACACCTGGCTGATTTTTATATTTTTAGTAGAGAGGGGGTTTCGCCATGTTGGCCAGGCCAGTCTTGAACTCCTGACTTCGACTGATCTGCCCACCTCTACCTCCCAAAGTGCTGAGATTACAGGCATGAGACACCGTGGGCACAGCTTATTAGCCACATTTTATAGGAGGTCAAATTCGACAGCAAGAGGCTAAGCGGCATGGCTGAGATAAGGTCTGTGGTAGCACCTAAGTCTTCACCCCAGACTTGGTATACTTCTCATCACAGCCACAATTTTATACCTCATATCTGACCCAGGAGCTACATACCTGTTTTTTTGTTTGTTTGTTTGTTTGTTGTTCTTGTTTTTTTTCTTTTTGAGACAGAGTCTTGCTCTGTTACCCAGGCTGGAGTATAGTGCTGGGATCTCAGCTCACTGCAACCTCTGCCTCCCAGGTTCAAGTGATTCTCCTGCCTCAGCTTCCTAAGTAGCTGGGACCACAGTCATGTACCACTATGCCTGGCTAATTTTTTTGTTTTTAGTAGAGACAGGGTTTCACCATGTTGGCCAGGCTCGTCTTAAACTCCTGGCCTCAAGTGACCTGCCCACATTGGCCTCCCAAAGTTCAGGGATTACAGGTATGAGCCACCATACCTGGCCGACACCTATGTTTTAATTTGCAAAGGCATGTTGATGCATTTTAAAGTTGTTATTTTAAAATTATTATTTATATTTGCTATTATATCATATATACATATAGATATATATATATACATACAGATATATATATACACACATATATATACATACATATATATATATACACACATATATATACATACAGATATATATATATACACACACACACACACACACACACACATATATATGGTGTTATTTTATTATTTTGAAAAGTTATATGGCCCCTTAAACTTTTGTGGAAGAAGTTTATTTTAAATCCCTGGAATTTTATGCTTTCCTCATCAATTTTTTTTTTTTTAATCAATTTGCAGTTTTTAAGACAAATCTGGAAAACAGCTTTGTTCTTTTATGGGACTGCTCTGAAAAAAATTTTTTTTTTTAAGAGAGAATTCTGCTCTGTCATCCAGGCTGGAGTGCAGTGGTATAATCATATCTCACTGCAGCTACCAACTCCTGGGCTCAAGTGATTGTCCTGCCTCAGCTTTCCGAATAGCCGGGGATACAGGTGTGCATTACCGCACCAGGCGGATTTTTTTTTTTTTTTTTATAGAGACGAGGTTTCTCCATGTTGGTCAGGCTGGTCTCGAACTCCTGACCTCAGGTGATCCACCCACCTTGGCCTCCCAAAGTGCTAGGATTACAGGTGTGAGCCAGATTTTTTTTTTACTTTAATTTTTTTTTTTGTAGAGACAGAGTCTCTCTTTGTTGGCCAGGCTGGTCTTGAACTCCCAGGTTCAAGCGATTCTCCTGCCTCAGCTTCCTAAGTAGCTGGGACCACAAGTGTGCGCCACTATGCCTGGCTTTCTACCACCCCAGCAATCCTACCAACCCAGCCTCCCAAAGAGTTGGAATTACAGGCGTGAGACACTGGGAATGGCCTGCGTTGAATTTTTGTCTCCCCACTCCTAGGTAGCAACTCTGGACTCCACAGAAAAGCTGCCTCTCTCCAAGACCCAGCCCTCCTGAAAGGTCATCTGTCCCCTCCTCCAGAGAGGGTGAGGCAGGGCCAACAGTGAAGTGGCCATGTGCACTAGCCCTCCCTCTTGCTTCAGAAGAGAACTTTTCATCCCTGAGCAAATTAGTCAATTTCAAGAGATAGCATCTTGAATGAGAGTGGTCACCAACAAGGAAGTCACAGAGGCCCTCAGCTCCTGTGTGGGGTCTCAAGGGGAGTTGAATGAGGTGGCCTTAAGGGATCGCCTAGTACCCAACTTCCTAGAGTGTATGTAGTAGAGAGAAAGTAGCATAGGGCTAGAAGGCCAGGTCACAATACCCTCTTTGGAATCTTCTGAATGTATGACCAACAGGCAAGAACCCCAGTTTCCTGATCTACAGACCTGACAGGTGGAAACCTACCTACACACAGGTTGTGAGGATAAAAACAGGTGGTTTGGGCTAGGCGAGGTGGCTCATGCCTATAATCACAGCACTTTGTGAGGCTAAAATGGGTGGATCACTTGAGGTCAGGAGTTTAAGACCAGCCTGGGCAACATGGCAAAATCCCATCTCTACTAAAAATACAAAAATTAGGCAGGTATAGTGGCACACGCCTGTAATCCCAGCTACTCGGGAGGCTGAGGCAGGGGAATCGCTTGAACCCGGGAGGTGGAGGTTGCAGTGAGTTGAGATCGCGCCACTGCACTCCAGCCTGGCAACAGAGTGAGACTGTTTCAAAAATAAATAGATAAAACAAACAAACAAACAAAAAAAAAACCAAAAGAACAGGTGATATGGTTGGAAGAGGTTTATCATGGCCAGGCATTTATAAATCAAATTGCTTTGGAGAGATGCCTGTTTGCCTGTTTTTTAACAGGACGTGGGAATCCCTTGTCTTCCTGGGCAGACTAGATGTGGTGTGTTCACGGGGAGTTTTGTTTGAGAGAAGCCCCTTTCTTTCCAGAGTGGCTGCTTGGGCTGTGCCTTCCAAAGCTGCTAAGTCTGGTGGAAGGGGATTGTTGATATTCTCCATGCCTTCTTTGGGGAGCCTCCTAGCCTCTGAATTATTGATGCATGCCTACATTATTAAAAGGATCTATTTGCATTAGTTAGCAGAATATGGTGCTCTCCCGTGAATGAGAAAAGCTGCCAAGTCCTGATTGCATCCTCATAATGGGTCTGAAATGACAAGTGTGGAGCAGGCAGCAGAGCCAAAACCACCTTTATTTGTGCATCTGTGCTCTTGGGTGGGGGTGTTGCACACCCAGTTTGTCATGATCCTGTCTTTTGCCCCTGAGGCCTTAGAAACTCACCTTGTCTCTAGTCCATTCCTCTACAACCATCGTAACCCTCTTGTAACCTTTTAATCCTCTTTGCTTCTTAAAGATGCAACTCATGCCACCTCCCCCAGGAAGTTCTCCCTGACTTCCAGGTTTCAGGATAGGCTGCCAGAGATCCCTGTGTTAACTGTGAACAGAACCCTTTATATCCTCTTGCATCAGAATGTCTGTCTCATCCAGTAGACTGAACCTCGTGGGTAGGAACAGAGGTGTGTTTTACATGCATCTCATTGCTGGGGACAGTGCCAGGAACCCAGCAGGTGGTCTATGTCTGTGGTGTGTTGGTTTAGTAGTGGGGAAAGGTTTCTTAAAGGAGGTGTGTTTATGAATGTTCATTGCAGCACAGTTTACAATAGCAAAGACCTGGAACCAACCCAAATGCCCATCGATGATAGACTGGACAGGGAAAATGTGGCACATATACACCATGGAATATTATGCAGCCATCAAAAACAATGAGTTTGTGTCCTTTGGAGGGACATGGATGAACCTGGAAACCATCATTCTCAGCAAACTGACACAAGAACAGAAAATCAAACACCGCATGTTCTCATTCATAGGTGGGTGTTGAACAATGAGAACACATGGACACAGGGAGGGGAGCATCACACACTGGGGTCTGTGGGGGGGAACTAGGAGAGGGACAGTGAGGGGTAGGGAGTTGGGGAGAGATAGCATGGGGAGAAATGCCACATATAGGTAATGGGGAGGAAGGTAGCACATCACACTGCCATGTGTGTACCTATGCAACTATCCTGCATGTTCTTCACATGTACCCCAAAACCTAAAATGCAATAAAAAAAAAAAGTTAAAAAAAAAAATAAAAAGGAGGTGTGTTTAGAATTAAGCCCTTTGCATGGTATAAGAACTGAGAAATAAGGTGTGTGTGGTTACAGGGGATGCCACTGGGGGGCTGAAGCACTGGTTTCATTGTGGGGACTGAGGTGGCTCCTTTCCTTGGAGCGAATGATCAGCGTGAGGAGTTGGGGACCAGGTGTGGATCTAGATTATTGTTGCATAAATGGCCTAAATGAAGGGTGTTATCTTGAGTCTTTATAGAAAAGGGAGATCCCTGCCGGGCAGGGTGGCTCACACTGGTAATCCCAGCACTTTGGGAGGCCGAGGCATGCAGATCACCTGAGGTCAGGAGTTTAAGACCAGCCTGGCCAATATGGAGAAACTTTGTCTCTACTAAAAATACAAAAATTAGCCAGGCATGGTGGCAGGTGCCTATACCAGCTACTCAGGAGGCCGAGGCAGGAGAATTGCTTGAACCTGGGAGGCAGAGGTTGCAGAGAGCTGAGATTGTATCACTGCACTTCAGCCTGGGTGACAGAGCAAGTCTTTGTCTCAGAAAAAAAAAATTAATAAGTAGAAACGGGAGACCCTCATGGTTTTCGAGGAGTCATGGCCAAGATAAGAGTTACTCTTTGGTGGACTGGCTGGGACAGAGGGGAGAGGGTGAAGGTGGAGAGGAGGAGGAAGGAGGTTTAACAGCATTTGAGAGCCTAGACACGTATGCTGAAATGGAGAGGAATGGCTAATCAAAAATACTGTGTGAGTCTAGGAACCTAAGAATGCTAGTCCTTGACCCCAAGCATACTTATATAGCAGACTCAACACTATCATCTTCCACCTACCGGATGCGGTTATGCAAGTGATATGACCCAGAGCATACTGGAAGCTGGCAGGAGCATCAATAATACATCAGATATACAGATGAACTGCCCAGCGTGTCTCTGGTCTTGGGGAGAATTCTTAGTAGATCTGAGATAATTGCAGGACGGAGTGTTCTGTTTTCCCATCCACAGCCTCAAGGCCTGGTGAGGATTTTGTGTTCTAGAGAGATTTCCAAGGTGGACATCTCTCGGGCACTGGAGATTTTTCTCTCTCACTGGAGCAAAACTCGGAGGAAAGGTCACTCCTGTTTGTCTTGGCTTCTCTGTCATATCCCACCTACACTTTGAAAGGCCTGTTCCTAGCGGGGTCTCAGGGAGGCTGTGCTGGCCCCATCAGCCCTGAAGCTGGGTGGTAGTCCTTTATCAGAGATGCCCGTGAGAATCACTCACCCTGGAACCTTTCCCAGGCACACATCCGGACCCCTTCCAGCCAGGGCTGCACGGCATGCTTTGTAAAGGCTCTTCGGGTGATTGGAGCTTTAAGAGCTACTGAACTAAATGATCATCAAAGTGGACAAAGTAACTGATCTGCAGATGTCAGTAGAGTGGAAAGAGGACGGGTCGGAGAGTTCTCCACTTTCATGATAAAACCCAGTTCCTTGGCTGGTGTCAAGACCCCGGTGGGCGTCCATGGCATCTTTGACCTTATCTTCCTATTAAACAGGATTACTTGTGTGGGGCACCTTGCCTGTCCTCCCATCTCTCCAAGTAGCAGGTAGTACTTGGAGGCCGTGGTTAATCCCACTTCCTAGGTGAGCTTTTCCTTCCTGGAATGATCCTTGCTCTTACCCTCGCATTCCTGCTGTGTGTTCCCTCAGGCTGCCCCCTCCTTTTACGTGGATCAACTCCCTGATCACTGGAGCCTGTGCCATGTGTCTCTAAGTTGCACCCACCACCCATGGAGTCTAGCTCATGGCCAGGTGGCAGCTTGTATAGCTGATACTTTTGTGGGAAATGGATCTGCACAATATAAAGACAGTTCACAGGAAAGGGATCCCAAATGGTACTTCTTTTTTTTGTTGTTTGAGATGGAGTCTCACTCTGTTGCCCAGGCTGGAGTGCACTGCTGCGGTCTTGGCTCACTGCAACCTCCGCCTCCCAGGTTCAAGTGATTCTCCTACCTCAGCCTCCCGAGTAGCTGGGATTACAGGTGCCTGCCACCACACTTGGCTAATTTTTGTATTTTTGGTAGAGACGGAGTTTCACCATGCTGGCCAGGCTGGTCTCAAACTCCTGTCCTCAGGTGATCTGCCACCTCGGCCTCCCAAAGTGCTGGGATTACAGGCGTGAGCCACCGCGCCCAGCCTTTTTGTTTGTTGTTTGTTTGAGATGGAGTCTTGCTCTGTCGCCCAGGCTGTAGTGCAGTAGTGAGACCTCGGCTCACTGCAACCTCCACCTCCCAGGTTCAAGCAATTCTCCTGCCTCAGCCTCTGGAGTGGCTGGGATTACAGGTGCCCACCACCACACCTGGCTAATTTTTGTATTTTTACTAGAGACAGGGTTTTACCACATTGGCCAGGCTGGTCGAGCTTCTATCCCTAAGTGGTCTGCCCGCCTCGGCCTCCCAAAGTGCTGGGATTGCAGGCATGAGCCACCACACCTCACCCCAAATGGTACTTTGATAAGTTGTTCTACCCAATCATAAAATACCAAGGTTGTATAATATACACGTTGGTGATGTGCTCTGTTATTGACAAAAGCTGTGTTGCTGGAGGGAATGCAAGTTGGTGTGGCCCTTTGGGAGGAATTATGACCTTTTCGCATTCTCTATCCAAACTACAAAGGCATGTGCCCTTTGACCTGGCCATTTCGTTTTGGGACATCTCCCCTATAGAGATAACCGATAGAAATCTGTAGGAAAAGAACAGCGCCCAAGATTATTTATGGGAACATTTTTATAACAGCAGAAGACTGGGAGTAACTCAAACATCTGCGAGTTAAAGACTGGTTCGGCAATTGATGACACATTGTACTAGGCAAGATTCGGAAAAGAATGAGGAAGGGAAGTGCTGTGTGCACAAACACAGGCAGGTCTCAGGATGTGGTGCTGACATAAAGCATAGTATGAGGCGGTGGGTATGGAATGCCATCTTTTGTGTAAAAAGAAGCTTGCGTCTACACGCAAGACAAAGACAATGTAAAAATTGTCTTTGACAAACTCCGTTAGGATACACAAGAAATCAACACGAGGAGTAGCCTGTGAGTGGTGGGAGGAGGGAGGTGTGGGGGAGCACGGGAGACTGGGCCAGGAAGAAAGATGCTTGAAGGAGATATTTTTTTTTTTTCTTTTCAGAGACAAGGTCTCGTTCTGTTGCCCAGGCTGGCGTGCAGTGGTATGATCGTAGCTCACTGCAACCTCGGACTGTGAAGGAGATTTTTGATGGTTTATCTTTGGGTATCATTTGAATTTTGAAGCGTGAATATATTGAATAAAATTGGGAGCAGCTCAAACATTTGAGTGTATTATCTATAGTACATTTAATTTAAAACATTTATAATTTTGTCATGATTAGGCTGGGGTCATGGGTTTTTGGGAGGGAGACCCCAGAGGTAAAACGTCAGTTCTTATCACATGTCAAGGGTATGTTCTATCCACACGACTGATATAAATCCCAGTGGCATATCCCTATAATGTACCTGACCAAAGCCAGGTGTGGTGACATGTGCCTGTGGTCCCAGTGACTGGGGAGGCTGAGGCAGGGGGATTGCTTGAGCCCGAGAGTTTGAGACCAGCCTGGACAACGTAGCAAGACCTCATCTCTCAAAAACCACAAATTTGATCAGTCCTCCTCAAAACTGGAAAAGCTGGTGACCACCAGCCCTAGTGCTTCAATAAAGGCCTGTGGGAGCAGCTGTGCTCAGAGTTGTTGGGAACCAGCCCAACCCCATACGTGGGTGCTCTTAATTCCGGCAGTGACGAGGGATTGAGAAAAGGAAATAAAGACAGAGACACAAGGGTAGAAGTTACAGCATGGGTCCAGGGGACCAGCGCAAGCCTGGCAACTGCCTTGGTCCCAAGCTCTGGGCTCCAAACACTTTTATTATGTGTATAATCTCATTGATCTTATGGACAGGGAAGGGGAGGGTGAAGGGGTAGATAAGATAGCCAGGTGGAGAGCACTTGAGATCCTTCTAAGACATGCTAAACTAGTACTCTGAGCATTTAACAGCACTTGAGATCCTTCTAAGACATGCTGAACTAGTACTCTGAGTTTATCACTGACTGTTATCAGGGTGCAGCTGCATCAGAAGTATAGCGGATGAGGGGCCACGGGTCTGACTACTCCCAATGCATCAAGGGGCTTTTCTCTCCAGAGTATTGGGGACTTAGAGCAATTAAAATCGCTCCATATTCCGAGAACCTAGGCAGAGCCTGAGGTGTTCTGTGATCTCTGCCCTGCAAGGCTTTTCTCCTCCTTGCCAGCTCCCATCTGCAAAGACCCTCCTGGATCTTGTGAGCAGAGGTCGCCTCCCTTCTCAGAGATCTTTGCATAAGCCCTCTTTACGAGGACCTTGTACAGCCTCCATGTTGAGAAGGCATCGGTGGGACCAGAGCAGTATCCCCTGCTCTGCACTCACCCTGCAGTGTTTCCCGGTGTTACTGTGCGCTTTGTTGGTCTTTACCTTAGGCTCCTGTTGCTGCTTGATTTCTAATTAACTGCACCGAATAATATAGTTTTGTTCGATGTATAAACTTCAGTATACTCTGAGCCAAGCAAGCTTATAATTATTTAGCTAGAATTAACATAGGTCTCTCCCTGGCCATCTTAACCCACAGGGATGGTACTGATACAGCGTGGCAGAGGGACATGATGCCTGCATGGTGTGGAAAGGCCCCCTGGGATGTTGCTGGGCACATAGGGAGGAGGTCCAGGCCTAGAGAGGAGTGAAGCCCTCCCAGGGCATGGTGTGGACCACACTGAAGGGTGGTGGGGTTGGAGACAGCTGGAAGTCAGATCCCAGGGGCTCTCCTGTGTGATGCTCAATTGCTGGGAAGGGGATGGCAGCTAGTCTCTTTTCCTGTGCCAATCCTTATTGGTTGGGTGGCTGCTGAGAACCCTGCGGTACCCTAGCTCAGTAGGAAGAGTGTATCTTCATATAGTGAGGTTACTAAGGACGCAGGAAGAGGGTTAGAGAGTAGGCAGCAGATAATGCTGGGCTGGGGAGCCTGGAGGTTTAAGGCCAGCAGACCCTGGCTGAGGCTGCAGCCAGGCTGTTTCCTGTTCTTTTTCTCTTAGGCTTTGGGAAAGCTTTACCTTTTCGGTGCCTCTATGGCAGGGTCAGAGCAGTTTGGTGACAAAATGGAAGTAAACCGCAGGTGGAAAACAGCTCTGGGATCCTCCTAGGCTTGCGCTACTGAGGATTAGGCAGAACTTGCAGTGTGGCCCAGCTTTCTAAACAAGGTGTTCCCAGGAGGTGGAAAGACTGGTTTTCAATCAGATAAAGTAAGATTCTATGAAAAACTTTGGAGCCTTGCTGTTCCTATGAAGTGGTAGCTATCAATACACTTCTGATTATGACACCAAGGTAAAGGGAAGTGGAATAAGAAACAGGGACAGTTGAAAATAAGAAAAAAAAAAAGGCTGTTTGCATATGCATGGGGCACAGCCCGTACATGTGTGTATGTGTGCTCCTGTGTGCACGCACACGGGGGCACAGCCTCTACATGTGTGTATGCGTGCTCCTGTGTGCACACGCACGGGGGTACAGCCTCTACATGTGTATATGCATGCTCCTGTGTGCACGTGCACGGGGGCACAGCCTGTACGTGTGTGCTCCTGTATGCACGCGCACGGGGGCATAGCCTGTACATGTTTGTATGTGTGCTCCTGTGGGCATGCGCACGGGGGCACAATCTGTACACGTGTGCTCCTGTGTGCACGTGCACGGAGGCACAGCCGGTACATGTGTGTATACGTGCTCCTGTGTGCATGCATATGGGGATACAGCCCGTACATGTATGTGTGCTCCTGTGTGCACACGCACGGGGGCACAGCCTATACATGTGTGTATGTGTGCTCTTGTGTGCACACGCATGGGGGCACAGCCCCTACATTTGTGTATGCGTGCTCCTGTGTGCACACGCACGGGTGCACAGCCCATACATGTGTGTATGCGTGCTCCTGTGTGCACACTCACGGGGGCATAGCACCTGCATGTTTGTATGTGTGCTCCTGTGTGTATGCACATGGGGGCACAGCCTCTACATGTGTGTATGTGTACTCCTGTGTGCATGTGCATGGGGGCACAGCCTGTACATGTATATGTGCTCCTGTGTGCACACGCACAGGGGCACAGCCTGTACATGTGTGTATGTGTGCTCCTGTGTGCACGTGCACGGGGGCACAGCCTGTACATGTGTGTATGTGTGCTCCTGTGTGCATGCGCACGGGGGCACAGCCCGTAAATGTGTGTATGTGTGCTCCTGTGTGCACGCGCATGGGGGCACAGCCTGTACATATGTGTATGCGTGCTCCTGTGTGCACGCGCACGGGGGCACAGCCCGTAAATGTGTGTATGTGTGCTCCTGTGTGCACGTGCATGGGGGCACAGCCTGTACATGTGTGTATGTGTGCTCCTGTGTGCACGCGCAAGGGGGCACAGCCCATACATGTGTGTATGCGAGCTCCTGTGTGCACACGCATGGGGGCACAGTCTGTACATGTGTGTATGCATGCTCCTGTGTGCACGCGCATGGGTGAACAGCCCATAGATGTGTGTATGTGTGCTCCTGTGTGCACGCGCATGGGGGCACAGTCTGTACATGTGTGTATGCATGCTCCTGTGTGCACGCACATGGGTGAACAGCCCATAGATGTGTGTATGTGTGCTCCTGTGTGCACGCGCATGGGGGCACAGTCTGTACATGTGTGTATGCATGCTCCTGTGTGCACGCACACGGGGGAACAGCCCATAGATGTGTGTATGTGTGCTCCTGTGTGCACGCACACGGGGGCACAGCCTGTACGTGTGTGCTCCTGTGGGCACACACATGGGGGCACAGCCTCTACATGTGTGTATGTGTGCTCCTGTGGGCACATGCATGGATGCACCGCCTGTACGTATATGCATATGAGCCTGTGGGTATGCGAGGTGGGTGAGAGGCCCCGAGGGACCGGAAACTTCCTTAAAGGTCATTTGGGAGAGCACAGCTCTCTCTACCACCCACTCTAGGGCAGTTAGGCAAAGGTGTGCCTCCCTTTAAGAGAGCCTAAGGGTCAGTCTGCTTTTCAAAATAGATTATCAGGAATTAGTACTTTGGCTTGGAAAAGGAATCTTTATTTTGTAAAAGATTTTTAATCTCTGCAGCTTCTCTGATACACATTGGCAACCTGATTGGAAACTCAGGCCCCCAGCATCTTTTGGGGGCATATGTCTGCATTCTTGGTTATAATGGCACTGCACTGGTTCAGGTAACCTAAAAAAGATAACTAATGATAACAGTGATTGGTGTAGATTTCATACCACAGAGCACTGTGGTTTGTATAGTAAGACACAGTGATGGTGTGGGCCACTGCAGAGCTGGCTTTGCAGATGTGAAGAATAGTGACTTTGCCTGACATAGTGTTTGCATGGAATTAAACTAGTAAGATTGATGTGAATCTCGTCCTTTCATTTTTTATGTAGATTCATTGGTTGGTTAACTGTGGAATTAATGTCATAGTGCCTTTTTAAATTAAGAAAATGTAGTTATGACTGCGTGCAGTGGCTCATGCCTGTAATCCCAGCACTTTGGGAGGCCAAGGCAGGTGGATCACCTGAGGTCAGGAGTTTAAGACCAGCCTCACCAACATGGCAAAACCCAGTCTCTACTAAAAATACAAAAATTAGGCATGTGCCTGTAATTCCAGCTACTCGGGATGCTGAGGCAGGAGAATCGCTGTAATCCCTGGAGGTGGAGGTTGCAGTGAGCCAAGATCGTGCTATAGTACTCCACCTTGGGTGACAGAATGAGACTCAGTCTCAAAAAAAAAGAAAAAGGAAAAAGAGAAAATGTAGTTACAAAGAAGTTTCTAAGCATTTTTAAGCATTTTATATTAAAACAGGAATTCAGAAGAAATCAAAACAAAACAAAAAACTGGGGATGGAGGAAACTCAATTTTAAATATAAACTTTGGGGGTGAGTGGTGAATCCAGGTGTCGTGAGTCATTTGCTGGCTTGTTTGTCACGTGGCCTGCTCTATAAGTTTCACCTTAATTGATGTGTTCATTCGGGATGGGCATTCTTCCAAGATTTTTCTTTCTCCCTTTCTTTGGGGTGCACTGTGTGTGTGTGGTAAGAACAAGGGCCATGGAATTAGAGAATCCTGAGTTTCTAAGGCAAACTCGGTCCCAAGCAGTGTGACCTGGTTACTTATCTCCTTTGGACCATCCCCACCCATGGCCCTCATCTGTACCCTAGGGATAATATCATAGTGCGGGCTCTGCAGGCTTTTGGCGAGCAGGTGGGATGATGCAGCAAAACACCCAGCCTAGAGCCTAACACCAATTGACCTGTAATTTATGCTGCACAAACACAGCCATTTTCTGGATGTTTCCCCTTTTGCTTCCACTGTGAGGTCGGAGAGTGGGGTAACCTCTCCCACAAGCAGCGGGAGTCATCTCATCCCAGCCTTTCAGGAGGGTGAATCTACACCTGGGGTCCAGAGTCTCCGAGATGAGACTTGAGCCAGGTGCTCATTCACCAAGACTCAGGCTGTGGAGGCTCTAGCCATGGTTTCTCCATGCAGGAGTGAGGTTGGGACAAGGGGTCTTTCTGGGACTCTCTGCTCTGTGGCCCCTGCTGCTCTGGACTGGTTCATTGGTGAAAGCTGTCACATTCTCCGGACCAGTTGCCACGCTATGCTCACAGTCCCTGTTCTTGTTATCCTAGACGGGAAGTGAGTGATGACCCTACAGTGAGGGCTCATCTCAAGATCTCCAAGGGCTGAAGCTCAGCCAGCACTTTACAAGGGTGATCTGGAGCCGACCTGGCCTGTTGGCCGACCATGGGTGACTCTGGGTAGCCCATACCTAGGCAATTGAGGAGCTGCCTTGATATCTGGTTACAGAATTCCTGGGACTGAGTCACTGCAGTAATTGCTGTGATGAATTGTGTTTACTTTGTGTGGGGTTCCAAACTGCAGCAGCAGTGACTGCAGTTGGAAGACAGCATGATCAGCAGCTTCCAAGGAAGAGCCTGGCGTCAGAAAGCTGCATTGTGCTAACGCTGAAGCCGGCAAGAGCCCTTTGCAGACACTTGGATGTTTAGCGAGCTGGTGACTCTCCTTGTCATGAGTAAGCTTAGTACCTTGGACAAGTCACCCAGATTCCGCTGGGCATGTAATTCTCCTGCTTGGTTGCCTCGAGGTAGAGAGACAGTGAGGGAAGTGGTTAGTGGAGGAACCCTGGCTGTAGCCTGCTGGGGTTTTTTTGAGATGGAGTTTCACTCTTGTCGCCCAGGCTCGAGTGCAGTGGCATGATCTCGGCTTGCTGCAACCTCCACCTCCTGGGTTCAAGTGATTCTCCTGCCTCAGCCTCTGGAGTAGCTGGGATTATAGGCATGTACCACCATGCCCGGCTAATTTTGTATTTTTAGTAGAGACGGGGTTTCTCCATGTTAGTCAGGCTGGTCTTGAACTCCCGACCTCTGATGATCTGCCTGTCTTAGCCTCCCAATGTGCTGAGATTACAGATGTGAGCCACTGCAACCGGCCGCCTACTGGGGTTTGAGTCCACCTGTGTAATCTTGTGTGATATTAGCCTCTCTGGCTCTCAGCACTCTCATCTGTGAAATAGGACATTTTGGCAGTATCTATTTCATAGGGTTGGTGTTTGAATGAGTTAACATGTGTAAAGTGAATGGTATAATGCCTGGCATGCTGGCAAGATTGCTCTCAGGGTTAAGGCAGGTTAAGCCTTTGGCATGCACTAAGAGCTCAGTAAATGTGAGCTGATGTTGTTGGTCCTGTATTTCTATTTGAGAAGGCTGCCCTGCCCTCTTCCCTCTCCCTCTGCACAGCAGCCTGGTACCCGCTGTTCTCTAGGTTCTGGCCACATGGTATGACATGTTCTGATGATCTAGCTGTTCCCATTAGACAGTGGGGCCACGAGGCAGGCCCACAGGACTTGGCCCTCTCTGTCTCTGTGGCGCCTTGCACCATGTCCAGCTGACGTGGGGAGGGACTCAGGAAACAGTGATCAAGTGTGTGACTTTGGCTGGCATAGTGGTTGCTGGGAGAACAGACAAGGTTCTCTCTCACGATGTACAGATTTCAGATCAGGAAAAGTCCCTGCTGGGGTAAGTTTATCAAGCATCTCCCATGGGCAAGATAGGCTGTGGCCAGAGCCTTGAAGTACACAGTAGGAGAGCCAGCCTTCCCAGGCCTGGACTTCAAGTGATGAGACAAGATATAACCGCCCAGAGAATCCCCATAATGCAATCGGGAAAGAGCTATGCCCAGCAGGAGGCAGGGGAAAGTGACTCCAGCGATTCCAGGAAGGCTTCCTGGAAGAGGTGGAACGTGAACAGCATAGGATTTTGAGAGAAGAAATGGAATGGGCTGAGGGAGATTCTGCTGGTGGAGGCTCAGGTTGACCTAAGGGCTGGCAGCAGCGGAGGCTCCCCATGAGTGAGTTTGAGGGGGTTCTTTAGCTCAGTCTGATTGAGGCAGAGGCTTTCTGTAGGGGTGTGGTGTGACCTGAGTATTGGGTACGTGGTCAGGACTGAGCTTTAAAAGTGAATGAGAGGGGCCATACATGACGGCTTGAGCCTATAATCCCAGCACTTTGGGAGACTGGTGGATCACCTGAGGTTAGGAGTTTGAGACCAATCTAGACAATCTGGTGAAACTCTGTCTGTACTAAAAATACAAAAATTAGTTGGGCGGGGTGGTGAGTGCCTATAATCCCAGTTACTCAGGAGGCTGAGGCAGGAGAATTGTTTGATCCCGGGAGGCGGAGGGTACACTGAGCCGGGATGGCGCTGCTGCACTCCAGCCTGGGTGACAGAGTGAGACAGCGTCTCAACAACAACAACAACAACAACAACAACAACAACAACAACAACAACAAATTAATAATAAATAGAGAGGGAAGGAAGGCAGGGCATGATGCTATTTAAATCTCTGAGCATCTTATAGCATTGTTTACATCCCAGCTTTTCACTGACCTTTCCTTTACCCCCACCCGCACCCTGTGGTCCTTGCTCGGTCCTGCATTTTCTCTTTCCGGTTCCTCTGTCCCTAGCCCCATGTGCCAGACTGCTGCAGTGTGGCAGGGAGGCCTGCTGGCATCCCAGCCATTTCCTGCCCCCAGGCCGCCCACCCTTCTCCGATCTAGCACAGCCTTGCCGTATGTATGACCTCACCCCTACGGCAGCCGGGAAGCCGGGCTCCTGTTTCCTGCCTGTTTACCCTGGCACAGCGACAGGTAGATCATGTGGCACTGCTGGATGCCAGCCGCGTGAGTCTCCGGCAGTGGGCACAGGTGGGAGGGCAGGGGGCATTCCTCTGGGCTGACTCGAGCCCGGCCTGCCTGGCATGAGACCCCCTGCTTCTGGAGGGAGCTCAGGGGCTTGCTCACAGCTGCCCTGGTTCTGCGCTGGGCCGCTGAGTCATCGCTCAGCAGAAAGGCAGGCCTCTGAGTCACGGTGCAGCCCCAGACTGGACAGTGAGTGCTTTGTGGGACTGTCCTGGGCTTTCCTGTTCCTCTGAGAGTTTAAAGGGGTCCTAAATTGTCACATGACCCTCTCTGATGCTGGATAGACACTCTAGGTCTTTTGCACCCTGGTCATTTTACCCGCCTGTGGCTGGATGCCAGGTTACCTTCAGAGACACATTCCTCAATCTCGGTCTGCCTCATAGGATCCAGAATCGAAGAGTTCAATTCAACTCAGCAGCTGAGTTACAGGAAAGCAGCCAGGGTGATGATTAAGCAAGTCCAGGCAGGAATTAACCAGGCAAGATTTCGGGAGGAGAGGCCTGGGTGGCGTGTCCTGGCAGGGCCTTAGGAAGAGCATACGCGTCTCCTGAGTCTTGCATATTTTGTGAGTGTCTTGAAAGGACCTTGAGATTCTACCCGTTACCGTGAAGAAGAGGTGCAGGAATACCATTTATCCGCTGGCACAGGGTAGCATGCTCGGTGTGCACTGAGCTTGTGGATTCCTGTCCTGACCTGAAGATGCTGATGCTTTATACCCATTTCATGGTTGAAGACATTGAAGGTGCAGAAGAAGATACTGACTTAGAGTCAGGGTCACAGAGCTAGGAAGCAGCATGTCTAGGATTTGACCCCAGCCCTATCTGACTCAGTTTACCATTTTAAACCACTCTGTTCAAGTTAGGTTTCTCTCCTCTTTCTCTGTCTCTCTTTCTCCTACTTGGCTGCTGGAATCTTCCCTAAGGACGGTAGCTGTCTGCAGTGCAGGAAGCCATCTACTAAGGTGTAACAAGTGTATTTTGGAGTCCTGCTGTCCCTGTGGATTGAGCCGGTGAAGCCCTGAGGCTCTCTAGGGGTGGATGGAGAAGGAGCTGGGGGCCTTGGCTGTAAGGACCCCTAAGGGTTAGTGTGTGGAGAGTGGGGGGTGGGAATGAATCTTGGTGTGTGGAAATTGGGTGGCTCACTGACCCTGAGGAAGAGCCCTTGTTGAGGCTGTAAGGTGCCGCTGGCCTAAGAGAAACCCTCCAGGGTTCAGGCCCCAGCTGTACCCTCCTTTAGTCAGGTGGCTCTGTGGGGTCATTTCTGCTGGCCCTGGCAAACACTGGACTAGATCAGTGTTTTTTTTTTCTTTTGAGTTGGAGTCTCGCTCTGTCACCCAGGCTAGAGTGCAGTGGCCTGATCCCGGCTCACTGCAACCTTTGCCTTCTGGGTTCAAGCGTTTCTCCTGCCTCAGCCTCCTGAGTAGCTGGGACTACAGGCCCGCGCCACCGTGCCCAGCTAATTTTTGTTTCACCATGGGGTTTCACCATGTTGGCCAGGCTGGTCTTGAACTCCTAACCTTAGGTGATCTGCCCTCCTCAGCCTCCCAAGGTGCTGGGATTACAGGCATGAGCCACTGCGCCTGGCCTACATCAGTGTTTCTAAAGCGTAGTCCCTTCCCTCTCCCGGGAAGGGGGCGTCCGCAAGTGGGTGAGGGGATTGGAATCTGCATTGGTAACACACTCCCCAGGAGAGGCTGGAGGGCACCTTTCCAGGTGAACTCCCATCATTTCAGGCCTCAGCCAACTGAGTGGGAATCCCCACCAGTGAGTTTGCTCAGGACAGTGTTTTTCTTGGGCCTTTGTTTGAAAGAATTGTCCTTTGAGCTAATCACTAACTGTAAAAATGGATAGAGCTCATGTGAAAACAAAAATTTCTGGCTTCCCTTGTGGAAAGCAGAGGCATGAAATGTATGGCTGGTGGGGTAGGGGTCCCACAGCTGTGCAGCCACCCTGGCTGGAGCCCATAAGCAGCGTCACTTGGTCATGGTCCTCTCCCTTCTCTATAATTTTGCCCCTTCCTGACCAGCCACCTGATGATGTCATTTACCTTCAAGTTCATCCATTGTTTTTCTTTTAGAAAAGAGAGATGAGAAATATTTCTTGTGCCTACATCTTTATTAAAAACAGAGCAAGAAACTTGAGGACTCCATATTTCTAGAAAAACAAGAGTGGGCATCCCTCTTCCCTGAAAGGAAGAATTTCCATATCCACCCTTCACTGATGTAGACAAAAGAATTCATGTCCTTTTGGTGCATGGAGGGCCTTTTCTTTTTTCCCAGGGAGTGAGGGGGATGGTAGGGTTTGGGGGTGTGTGGAAGGCTTTGATGGGGCACATGATGTGTGGGGCTTAGCGGGCATGCTGGAGTAGCTGGGTGTCCTGGGAAGACTTTTTTTAAATGTAAATAGTTTAAGTTCTGGGGTACACATGCAGAATATATAGGTTTGTTTGATAGGTATACATGTGCCACGGTGTTGTGCTGCATCCATCAACCCATCCTGGGAAGGCTTTTATAGACACGATGTGGCAGGCCTGGGACTCTAAGTGCTTTTAGCCAGCTATATTAAAATGGAATTCAGTGTCAGTTTTTTCTTTTTTTGAGATGGAGTCTCGCCCTGTCACCCAGGCTAGACTGAGGTGGCCTGATCTCGGCTCACTGCGACATCCGCCTGCCCAGTTCAAGCGATTTACCTGCCTCAGCCTCCTGAGCAGCTGGGGCTACAGGTGCGTGCTACCATGACCAGCTAATTTTTGTATTTTAGTAGAGACGGGGTTTCACCATATTAGCCAGGCTTGTCTCGAACTCCTGACCTCATGATCCACCCACCTCGGCCTCCCAAAGTGCTGAGATTACAGGTGTGAGCCACTGCACCTGGCCGTTCTTACATTCTTAGAACATACAGAACAACCAGGTATGGGCTTCTTATCTAGTGAGACAGGGGAGGAAAGACTAGGAACAATGTATGTGGGTGTCCACCTCATGCCAGGCATGACCTTTTATTGAGGAACAATGGGTAGATGAAGCAGCTTGCTCATGTCTCAAAGTGGCAGAGTCTGAACTTGAACTCTGGTGTCTGTTTTTTGAGCTTGCGTCCTTCCTACAACCCTAGACTACTGCTCCTAAATAATTCAGTGGCAAACGTCACACAGGCAGTAACCTCACATAAGGAGCTGTGAGGTTGGCGCAGAAATATCCATTGCTGGCCTGCGAACTATTCACACAGGTCTGACTCCCTGCCTGAGGCCTGGCTGCCCTGGTTCTGTGGAATCCCTTCGTGACTTCCATCTGAACTGAGCAGGTATGGGGCCATGTTGAACTTGGAGAAAGCTGTGCAGGGGTTGGATTTGGGCTTTAGAGTCACGTGGGGTTGAACCTTGGGACTGCTATTTGTTTAATCTGTCCTAGCTTCAATTGCCTTGTCTGTGAAATGGGCTTGATACCATCCAGGTCAAAGGGTGCATGAGGTTCTCATGCACTGAGGCTGGGGGCCATCGTTTGTTTCTTTGTCTCTACAAGCAGAGAGGCTGAGTCACACAGATCCCGAGGGGAGATCGCATTCTCTTCCCTCCTTTGGTGTATCATCTCCACCTCCTTAAGCTTGTATTATCTGGGTGTGGTGAGCCTCAGGAATAATGCTGTGACATCAAGCCCCGTGAACACCTCCTTTCACACGGCCCCGTGACCAGCTGCGGCTGCCAGTGGTGACGAGAACGGACGACGCTCCAGGGCTGCCGGGAACGGTGCGTGTGCTTCTGGGCAGGGCCACTTCCTAGAACCACCAGGCTGTTCTGTGAAGAGAACCAGCTCCCAGGGAGCTCCAGGAGGCGAGGAGCAGGTTCTGGCGGTGATGGTGCTGGCACAGGAGGCCGGGCTCTTGGCAGAATCGGTTTCCAGCTCTGGGCATTGGGGTGTGGTATGCAACCAGCAACAGGCTGTTCGTATGCCAGACATCACCGGAACCAAAGTCTTCTCGGAGACATCTTCAGAAGGCAAGGACAGAGCCAAGCATTCCAGAGAGGAGCATTCGAGAAAAGTTTTCTCGGAGCTTCGGAGCTCAGGGAGTGCCATGGGGGAGACTCATGAGGTTGATGCCTTCTGACAGTCCTATAGAGAAGATAACTGTCAGCTCTCTGTCTCCTGTGGAATTTAGCACTTGGCCAGGTGGCCATTTCTCTCCCTCCTACTGGGCGACCTTCTCCAGGGCAAGGGGCTCCTTGAAGAGTGTCTTTCATATTGAAGCATTCCCAGAATGGTGGTTTGTGACCCATGGTAGAGGTTTGAACTTGGGATGGCTCTGCAGACGTGCTGATGTCGTGTTGCCTGGGAACCTGTTACCTCCCCTCTTCGTCATGATTTCACATCAGTATCCCCCTTCTCCTATACTTCTGTCTTCTTTTTACCATTTCATATATTTTCTCTCATTCATTCATTCAGTTCTACCTAGCCACCCTTTCATCTAACCAGCCTCCCACTTAGCTAGCCTTCCAACTAACTATCCTTTATTTATTTATTTTTTATGAGACAGAGTATTGCTCTTGTTGCCCAGGCTGGAGTGTAATGGCGTAATCTCGGCTCACTGCAACCTCTGCCTCCCAGATTTAAGCGATTCTCCTGCCTCAGCCTCTCAAGTAGCTGGGATAACAGGTACTCACCACCATGCCCAGCTAATTTTTGTATTTTTAGTAGAGATGAGGTTTTACCATGTTGGCTAGGCTGGTCATGAACTCCTGACCTCAGGTGATCCGCCTGCCTCAGTCTCCCAAAGTGCTGGGACTACAGGTATGAGCCACTGTGTTCGGTCCCAACGACCTATCCTTTCATCCAGCTACCTTTCTTCCCAGCCACCCGTTCCACCCAACCATCCTTCCAGCCAACCACCCTTTTATTGCCTAGCCACCATCCACTGGGCATTGTGCCAGGCTTTGAAGGTGCCCAGCTGGAGAAGAGCCAACAGAGTCCTTATTCTGATGGAGTTTATCTTCTA